AAAGCTAGGTTAAAATCCATAAAAATTATTTCCCACGGACTTGGTTCTTTGTTGAGGATGAGCCATCTAGTCATTAGTTTGTCATCCAGAACTTTCGATAAATTTCAAGTATTGGATACCAGACCCTTAACAACAAGCTCCTGACCTTATGGAAAAACCCAAGAGGAGCCCTAATAACAAGGGAGAGGGATGAGGGATGACAAATCGAGTCAGTCATCTTCCAACGTTCACCTTCTCTGGAGTTTATAAGTGTGATCAAATACTGTGCATCTGTTGACATCACCATACAGATATCTTACATGCCCGAGTTCTTTGATTTACTCTCCACAAGTCAGATACCTCCCTCCAAAGACGCTCCTGTTACCCGAACGATCCAAATATCAAGAACCGTCCATCGAACACCTGAAAAACCCGTCAGTGCAATTAAGTCATCAAAATCATCAATCCTCAATTTCTCTACAAGGTATTTATCCACACACGAATATCCTGTAAACTCTCTCTCTCGTGACAGTTAGATTCGATAGCCTAAGTAATATATATTAATCCAAGATATCTATGATTGTATATCGTGTACCCCTGCCCATTAAAATAAAATTGTTATTAAAGGAGAAAAAATATATTTCCTTTAGGACTATATATATAATTGATACATAAATACATTAAAAATAAATTGCCAGGACGAATTCACAAGAAGAGAAAATATATTTCCTTTAGGACTATACATATAATTGAGTCCGTCTTCATTTGTCCTTTCACATGCTTGGCAGAGGCAATAACAAATTTCCGGCGATACCGACCTTTTATTTGAGGCTACATGTTCGCCGTCCAATGTAAATGAGTTAAAAAGTCCTCTAGCAGTGGCCAGTACTATTATTAAATAAATAAATACATTAAAAATAAATTGCCAGGACAAATTCACAAGAAGAAAAAATATATTTCCTTTAGGACTATACATATAATTGAGTCCGTGCCAAGCGTGTGAAAGGACAAATGAAGACGGACTCAATTATATGTATAGTCCTAAAGGAAATATATTTTCTCTTCTTGTGAATTCGTCCTGGCAATTTATTTTTAATGTATTTATTTATTTAATAATAGTACTGGCCACCGCTAGAGGACTTTTTAACTCATTTACATTGGACGGCGAACATGTAGCCTCAAATAAAAGGTCGGTATCGCCGTAAACTTGTTATTGCCTCTGCCAAGTGTGTGAAAGGACAAATGAAGACGGACTCAATTATACGTATAGTCCTATAGGAAATATATTTTTTCTTCTTGTGAATTCATCCTGGCAATTTATTTTTAATAAAATTGTTATTGTTTATTAATCTGGAATCCAGGTGAATCACTTCCTCGTTTCTCTCTCCTCATTTCTATTCCCAATCCAACCGCTTACACATGACCGCTCGCATGACATAAGAACTCTCTGTCATAATTTCTGAGTCCCGACTTGGTGGTGTCACATCCTGACGCAGTGTCAAAGAGGCACTGACCCTACAGTCATACTTGTTTTGTGTGTAAAAATTTTTTGCACACAACACAAGTGCTTTTGCTCCAACAATTTTCCAAAATATCGAGTGTAATTGACAGCATATGCCATGTTAAGGTAACAAAAGTTGCAAGCCACAGTATTATATATGGCTGTTGGAAAATAACACCTGCATTTAAATCTGCAGGTAGCTAAGCTAGCTAGCACTAAGAGTAAAAACATAACTAAGAAAGCTTTGCTTATTTATCTCAAAATAATCAACTGAAAAAAGTACTTTTATCTGTACTTCCATTATACAGTAGACCCCTATAACACGGTAGATATGTTCCGTGTTTTATGAATTCCATGTTGTACGAGTCACTTAAATACATGATCCAATCACAGCCTGGCATGTATGCAGTTTAGGGACTATGGCTGTTTGAAAGGTTTTCTTCCATAAAATTAATTGATTCTAGACTAATTTGACTTAACATTTCCAAAACGTATAATTTTTTGGGAATAATCCATATAAACTATGCTATAAACAAAAAATTGTAGGATTACTTACCAAGTGTGCACTGTTCGACGACGCCATTGCTTAAGGTTGTTTTCATCGCGGAGCGGTGCATCGAACAGTGGGCATGTGTTTCCTGATAAGTTATTTTTCTGCGAAAAATTTGCTGAACTTTGGAGATATCATTAATATAAATATAATTTTTATGGCCGTTAAATAATAAATGATTTTTAGTAGTTCTGCTTCTCGTTTAAACTCAACAGTTTGTGCAATATCTGCTATTGGTCTGCATTCGACCAATCTTGTCACGACACAAGTCGGTGATGACATTTTACCATATTATACGAGTCTCTTTTAGCATGTTTATAGGAATATGATTGCAATTTTTTTGCAGTTTTATACGAATCCATATTATATGAACCCGTGTTACGGGGGGTCTACTGTACTAGTGTTTTACTAGCCAGTAACCATATGCAAAATACACTGTAACTGTGATATTTAACATGCATGTGCCAGCAAATCAGATCATCTATTATCAAAACACATATATCACAAGTTTTCACTTTGCCCCAACTTCCCCTACTGTAATATATACAGTGGTACCTTGGTATATGTCTGCTTTAGAATACGTCCGATTCGGAATACGTCCTGTTTGGACAAAACAAATTTTGCTCGGTTTACGACTTTTGTTCAGTATATGACTTAATTATACGCGCCATCTATGAACAAGTAGCACTATCGGTGTACTAGACCAGACTAGATGTTCGCAGTGCAACGATTTATAACTTTGTTAAACTTCTTCTGATTTTAATTTGTAAGTAAAATTTTATTATTTTTATTAATCATGAATTGCAAAAAGGCAACAGAAAAATAAAAAAATGACTAGAATCACAATGGAACTGAAAAAAGAGATTGTTGAGAAATATGAAGGTGGCACGCGTGTTCGAGATTTAACTGTTGCATACCGTATTCCGAGAACGACGATATCGACAATCGTGAAAAATAAAGACATTATTAAATCTGCTAACGTTGCGAAAGGGGTTAAATCAATTTCTAAACAGAGATCGAAGACATTAGATCATGTTGAGAAATTGCTTTTGCTTGGATAACTGAAAAACAGTGTGCTGGCAACATCCTATCAGAAGCAATTATTTGCGAGAAAGCTAAAAAGATACAGGCTGATCTTATGAAAAATCGAGCAGAAACTAGCCAGGAAAGAGAGGTGTTTCAAGCCAGCCATTTTTTTTACATGAGAACGGATTAATCATTTTTACATTACTTCTTATGGGAAAGGTTGGTTTGGTATACGTCCTATTCGGTATAAGTCCAAACATCATGAATGGATTAAGGTCGTATACTGAGGTTCCACTGTAATTTAAAAATTATAAAACTGTAAAGTAATAATTTAAAAGATAAATGATAACTTTTATAGTTTAAATAAAAATGTTTGATGTTTTTATGTCTTTAATATATAAAAATGTAAATATACATGAAAGTGTATACAAATAAATATTTGGTTTAAAAAACTATTGCATGTCTACCCATTTTTTATGAAATTTACTGGTAAAAAATATAAAATTATAGATATATGTATCAATGAAATCTATACTTGTTATGATTAACCTGCCATCAGGTTTTATGAACCAAGAACCAAACTTGCTTGCAAAAAGGTTAACTTAAATAATGTCAGGTCTGTTATCGTATACAGTTTTATCAGTCAGAATAGGGTTATATCAATAAAGTATATGTTGATCATTTCTAACACATGTAGAGGCTGGAGCTTATTATAGGGAGCCAATAAAATTGAAAGATTAAACTGTTTATTAAATTTCTAAATAAAAGAACTTTTGTCACAGAATTGTCTTTTGTGGTACAGTGACATTCCATTAACGTGGCATTGTTGGGACTGACACAATGCCAGGTTAAGGTTTATCAAATATGCCAACTAATCGGGTGATGAAATTTTTTCTAGCTTTTTTATTTCGTGGACAATTTTACATAACTTTTGCATGTAAAACTGTACAGATACACCTTTGATGATTATATAACGTGCCATTTTAATTTTTTTGGACTATTCCTACCCTTCATTGGTTTGAAACAAGAAGAACACACTAATTTTACTTTGTGCTTTGTACACTTTTAATCAATATCTATTCTATATTCTATGTTTATATATCTATACAGGAAATCCTTGTTAGTTCAAAATTCAAAGGATGAAATAATCATAACTTTAAATTATTGAGTTTTGAATTATCTGAGATTTACATATTTCTGTACAATATGCCAAATGCCATGTAACATATGTAATTTATTAAACAAATAAACTACAGGTAAACGGCACATGTCCTCTAAGAACGTTACAGGTTCTTAGCAGACATATGCTGTTTACCTGTAGTTTTTTATATTATTATTATTAATAATCTGTATATTTAGCTGTATATTTAACTTATCAGACAACCTTACAGGTTTCCAGATAAGTTTTATGAAAAGTAAAGCAGAATTTCTCGAAATGTAGCCCAAATTATTTTTAAAGTGGCCTAAAAAGTGGTAAGTTGCCCAAATGTATCAATAGTAGTGCCACACAAATATCTCAATCTGCTACTTGCAGCCCAATCTACAGTCCTGAAAAGCAGCCGTAGTTTATGAAATAAGAGAATAAATGTCTATGGATAAGGTGACACCCAAAAATGTGTTACTGTAAGAGCAAAGCCATATTGACCAGATTAGAGTTGTTCTTGATCTATTGTTCTCTTATAGCATGGAGGCACTTCAGTCTAAGAAAACATGTTAATGTATTCAGATCACAGGTTGGACAGAATTTTTACTTCAGATTTTGAAGTGGCCTTATTTTGAACTAACCAAATTCCTTAACATTTAAATCTTTTTATCCCTGGCCAGGACAAAAGTACGGTTATGAACTAATGGAATTTTGAACTATCTGAGTTTGAATTAATGAAGATTTCCTATACAAGTTATTAATAAAAACATACATAATTAATAATGTATTTTTTTTTACAGCTCCTGTGATTACAAGTATTAATAATTCTGTTCCTGTCAAAATTTCAAATTCATATCGACCTGGTAGTATTCCTTATCATAGACAATCATTTAGTGGAGTTTCTGGACTTAGTGGTGTAAATTCTCATCATGCATCAACTAATTCTTCACAAAATTCACGTCCTCTTTCTCATTACCCTTCTACTAGTTCCCTTCATAGCGATAGTTCTGCTTCAGTATCTCCAATTCCTTCTCCTTTACCAACACAAACAGTTACTTCTGTAAGTACATCATCTCCACGTCATACACCATCACCAAATCGTTATATCTCAGCATCTACTTCCAATTTATCAAATATGAAAAAATGGACTAGTCAAGAATTGGGATCTCAATATCTTAATAGGTAATTTGTTTATAATAGATCTGTGATTATTATAATTTATGAATATTTTATGAAATTGTTATATGCAACATTTTCAATGATATGGAATATTAGAATGCTATTTAAATAAATGCAATTATACCAATTTATTGTAATTTAGTAACTTTTCATTAGAGAGAGAGTTTTTAATTATATTCTTTTCAGATTTATATCTTGATGCTGTTAGAGAAAATAAAATAGGAATAAATATTTTAAAATAATTTTACAGATCAGAATGGTGATCCAACTAGTTAATTTGTAATGTACAGTACAGTACCATTTCTAATTATTTAATTTAATATGAAATGGCAGTATCAACTACATCTAATTCCAAATTATTAGATTTTTTGGATTATAATTCTACAATTTTTAAATTACAGCCCAAAAAAATCTAATAATAATTAGCTTATCTTTTAATAACTTAATACTGTATACAGTAGAACCTCGATTATCCGGACTAATTGGGGATGAAGGTAGTCCGGATAAGGAAAAATTCGGATAATCGAAACAAATATTTTAATTTGTATTTTAATGATAATTCAACGTGTTTTCTTTTCGATGACATATCGGTAATATTAAAAGTAAATACTGTATTTAAATTGTGATCAAATTTTCAAGAAACAGACGTTCGTATTGAATTTGGACTACTACTGACCAACGCTGACAGACTATCTATTGTTTAAAAGGCCCTCTGGTGGCACAAGAAGACAGATTTTATAAAATAAAAAGCATTTAAAACTGCATTTTTATGAATAAAAATTTGACAAACTATTTATCATTTTATGACGAGTAAAATTTTTTTTTCGCGCGGCTTTTAAGTACTGTATAAACCTTCGAAACGCGAGGTCCTTCAGACCACGAGGCATAAGGGGCCCACGTTGCCCATGCCTTATGCCGCCCTTGGTTATAGAAATGATGTAATTTGAAAATAAAATTATTTATAAATATGTATGTCAAGTTATATTTTTATTATGGCACAAAATATATTTAAGAGTTTACAGCCACTGTGCCGGGTGAGACATTGTTGAAACAAAAAAGTTATGCATTCCATCACATACATAAACAGTATTGTAATTTGCCAAGTGCAAATCAGCAAATTCGTAAAATTTTTGTTTATTTTGAACAATCTGGATAATCGCAAATCCGGATAATAGAGGTCCGGATAATCGAGGTTCTACTGTATATAGATTGATTGAATATAGCCAATAAAATAATTTTTACAAAATATTATGACTTTTGTTTTTATTTTTTGTGTTATAACTAAATCTTCTACTTTGATTGTAAAATACAAATCAATCGTAAAATATTGCAAAAAGTAAAAAATGTATTTAACAATAAATAAATTACCTTAAGACAGAGTTTCTTGATCTATGAACTCTTAATTCTAAGGGTCTACAAATTTTCTTCAGAAATTTGAGAGTTCTATATAAAGTTTTAAATTATTTTTTTGTTTTAATAAAAAGGAATGTGATATTAATATTAATAAAAAACTATTTACATAGATTTATTCAAATAATTTACCAAATATTTTAAAAATTTCTATAAAGTTTAAAATTTGCTTTTGTGAAAAGAAGAATGCAGGGTTAGTAAATTTAAATAATCTAACAAAAATTTTTTTTCAAGGATCCCTATATTGTTCTTTTTTGTTTGAGAACTAATGTTCTAGGATTCAGTAGAGGGTGAGAAGATTTTGGTGTGGATGCTCTTAACACTGAATGTCAATGGTACTGGTTCAGGGTCATGACGGGACTCGTCACTTTTTCCACACACTCAAAGAACTGGTCTAAGGATGTCTGGGTGGAGACCTTCTTTTTCTCGTCATATATGACCCGGTAGCAATGAAGTGCATCGTAGACAGCTGCTGCAACCCTGATGTATCATTCCACATTAGAGTCATGTGATTCAAAGAATGACAGAGTGTCTTCAATCATCTAAAATGCCTGTGCCATCATCTTAGTCTGGAAATGCTTCGGTGCTGGTTCCACTTCCTCTTCCTCCCTTCTCTGGTTTTCCAGTTCCATGGGGTATTCATTTGTCAGCTCCTGGTGGTGCAAAGCAAAATATTCATGGAAGCCCTGTTTCTTAAAATAAAAGTCAAGTTTCTCACTGATACTCACTAAGTTGTTGCCTACATTTTGTTCTTCTGCCTGTAGCTTTGCAAAACCAGGGAAGTCATGGACAAACATGGGACACAGTTTCTTCCAAACCCCATTCATGGTGGAAGTGGTAGGTTCACACCATGAAGCATCAATGTTCTTTATGGCATTATAGATAGTGATGTTCTTCCAAAATTCGCACAATGTCATCCCAGAATCACCCTCAGTTACTTTCAGTGCTTGACAAAATGTGCGATGGAGATAGTATTTCTTGAAGGTTGCAATGACTCCCTGATTCATCAGCTGGAGTAAGGAGGTAGTGTTGGGTGGCAGGAAAACTATCTTCACATTTGGATGAAAATCATCCAGAAAAGGAGAGTGGCCCATGCATTATCTAAAAGGAGGAGAATGTTCTTATCCCGGCAGTACCACTTCATTTTACGGATGAAATGGTAATAAAATCAATCTTGATACATAGCAAGAGTGACCCAGGCTTTTGGGTTACTCTTCCACACAACCGGAAGTGTGACCTTAGCTATATTTTTCAGGACTGTTGGGTTTTCAGAATGATACACTAACAATAGCTTGAGCTTCATATCTACTGCAGTATTACTGCCAAGTAGTAGCGTTAGTCTGTTTTTTTGTGGGTTTGAAGTCAGGTATAGATTTCTCTTCTTTATTGATATAGCATTTTCTTCCAATAAAGGCCTGTTTTGTCAACATTAAATATTTGCTGAGGTGAAAACTTGCTTTCTTTAATGATGTGTAGTGGGGAACTTCTGAGCTGCTACCATATCTGCGCTTGCCATCTCTCTCGTCACCTTTACATTATGGTGGTTATTATGTGCTTTGAAGCAGTTAAACCATCCATGGCTTTCAGTAAAGGTCACATCTGCTGCTTCTTCTCCATATTTTATTTTTATGTCTTCAAAAAGAGTTAAAGCCTTCTCTTGAATAAGCATTAGCCTAGTGGCTTGCTCTTCTAATGATAATCCTCCATCCAAATGCTCAGAAGATTTTCAAGTTCTTTGATCACTTTTCCATGTTTCCTACTAATAATAATAGAATGCATAGGCACTGAACTTTTCATATGTTCCATGATCTTATCCTTGTTCTTGAGAATTGAACCAATGGTAGAACAATTCATCTGGTATAAGCAAGCAACATCAGCCATCTTCTCTCTGTGCTCCACTGTTTTTTATAATGTCCCCTTTTGTTTCCATCATGATGGCTTGGCATTTCTTAGCATACCAACCTCATCACCACTGCTTTTGCACTTAACACCTGACATGTTAGAATGCTTATAAGGGCAAAAACTTTTGAAAACAATCACCAATCACAGAATTTTCTAGAGACCACACAACAACATTTGAATGAAACTGCATGAGTACAGTGAAAGAGAGTTATTGTTTATGACGTGCTACTCTTGCTTGCTTCTACTGCCCCCACTCACTCAGTGGACATGCAAACTAGCCTTATGAACTACCTTTGAATTTGAGGACAACTTTGTTCATATGTACCAAAATTTGTAACTCAAACATTTGCAAGTAGGGGACTATCTGTATTGTACTTAGCAATTATATCAGTTTTGTTTTGGAACAGACAATCACTGTATTAGAATGTGGAAGACCATTAGTGAGCATTTTCATTTTGCCTTTTCTGTTAAATGGAACTTTGCTCCACTGCTGATATCCTAATCTGGGAAACTGTCTGTATGATAGTCACCTTTAGGTGACTATCATATAGACAGTAAAAGTATGATACAGACGTAAAAGTATGAGGGTCATTGATGGCACACCAATGTGTTAAAGAAATCCTATATCTTGTGTTGTCTTTTATAGTAGAGCTACAAATGGTCATTTTCCAACAAGCAATGCTTATCTATATACAGCTAGGGTTTTCTAGGAATGTGTCCATTATGTTTTCACACTTTCTTGGCCTACCCAGTTTTCAGATTTTTTACCCATCAAGCATTTGAGGGACCAAATGGGATGCCATGTTTGTTCATCCATGAGTTTGAGGGAATTGGAGTGGCAGTTGTAGAAGAGCATATGGTGCCTGTATGCTTCCTTGTCCAATCATTTTGTTGCATGTTTCCAGGCAAAAGGAGGTTCAAGAAGATACTAGAAGTTCTTTTAAATTGTACCGTGTTTCATAGGAAATTGTCCCTTTGCTCTACAGTATTGTAATTAGGTATTATTATCATCATTGTGTTTGCAGTAATAAAGTTTTATATGCTTCCAATACTTCCTCCTTGGTGTCTAACTTTTTTGTCAATGACTGTATAATTAATGAAGCTGGTAAGGTGCAAATCAGGGTTTCCTAGCAGGATCAATATTGACCCATTAGGGGTCAATGAAAGTTTGAGGGGATCAATATAACTTTGCAAATATAAAAAATTTAAGTGTTAAAAATTCTGCACATTTTTGCTCTTAAATAAATTTAGGAAGATGTTTTTAATAATTATGTAAGTGGCTGTAGCAAATATAATTATAATATATAGTATAGTATAATTAATATTGAAGGGGTTGATGGAAAAAGATTTTTCTTAAAGTGTTGATACATGAGAAAGGTTAGGAACTCCTGGTATAAATTATATCTATCTATCTATCGCTATTATTTTTTAACATTTTGATTGTTGAATTTGATTTTAACAGCTAATGATATTTTGTGTTTTCTTCATTTATAATTTTCAGCAAATTTTTGTGAAAAAATTTTAATTAAATTGCACATTTTTTTCAATGAAGCTAAAATTATATGATAGAATTATTTGACTTATACTAGTCAATGACAATTGTTTAATATGTTTTGTAATGTATGGTAATGTTCAGAGCACCTGAAAATTGCATATTTAGTTGCTTAGAGATTACATTTTTTAAAGTTATAATTACTGGATATGAGAAATCACTGGATTTTAAATTGAATTGAAAATCTTTCAATATTGAGTTTTTATGAATTATATCAAAGGGTATATAACCAGTTAATGGTGTCCATGAAGAAAAATATTTAGGCAGTTTGATTGATAATACTATGATCCATTATCATTGATGCAAAAATGAATAAAAATATAATAAAAAGTACTTATTTTTTGCAAATAAAAAGTTGAAAAATATAGGTATGAATTTGTTATGTAGTTTGTACCCTTTACATTGTAACATTAAGATTGAAGTTGTTATTAATTTAATTAATACAGTTGAATTAATAATTTGTTTTTGATATTGTGAATATATTATTCACCATATAAATAAACATGGTTTGTTTTATTTCCTATTATATATATATATATGTATGTGTATTTAATTGTAAATTAAAATATTATTTTACTATTATATCTTTTCCCAGATCTGCCACTAGCGGATCTCTGTATAATCTGCATATCAGACCATCAAGACATGGGTAATATTTTGTTTACTAAAGGGTGATATTTGGTGATGGCACAAAGTAGTTTTTAAAATATTTTGTAGAGTAGTTTTTTTATGATTTAGAATCACTGCAGATTTGTCATTATAATTTTTAACATACATATTATTTTGCATTTGATTATCTCACAATTTTATATTCATATATATTTCATTTTCTAAATTGCTATTATTTACATTTTTAGTGAATCTTTTTTAATAAAGTAATAAATTATTAGCAATTAAATTTGAATTATAATAATTTTTTAATTTATTTTAAAAATTAGATTAGTTTATTATATTAATAATATATTCATTTATTTATTTTGAGTAGTTATAATGCTGTTATTAGGATAAAACACTATTAGTTTTAATATAAATATAATTTCAACACAGATTGAAAAGAAATACTTTGAAAGAAATTGAAAAATGGAATTAAAGCATTGCTTTGTATTACACATTTTATTCTGAACATATAAAATTCAAAAGATATTTTATTAATAAATTAGCAGTTGTTCATTTATATAGATTAAGTGAATATATAAGTGATAAAAGAATCTTAGCAGTTTCAAAATTACACTTTTATTTTTAACTGAGTTAATAAATAGACAGTTAAAAATTTATATGAAAATTAAAATATGAATGAAGAAAATTGAATTGGAGAAGAAATAAACAATTGTCTTCTAGTATAAGGATTACAGAGAATACAAAAAGTATAGTTTAGTCTCAATATTTTCATTTTTAACTTTGATGTTTGTATTATTTTTAAAAATACTTTCATTAAGAAAATGTCTTCAGGAGAAATGAATTGTCTGCATTACTGTATTTGTTTTTTAAAATTACTTTTTGGTAACATTTTTAAATTATAAAGAATAAAAATGTTTATATAAATCCATTCACTTGAAAGAAAATGCCATTTATTGGGTGTTTTGTTAATATTAAAAAAAAAAAAAAAATGGACATATAATTTTATGTATTTACTTTGTCTTTATTTGTTGTGTTGCAAGAACTGTTTTTTCTTATTCAAAATTCTATTTTTTGATAAGCAAATAATTTCATTCATAAGAATAGTAACATGAGTGAATATGGCATCAAAATTGATTATATAAAATCTGTTTTATATTCAATATCAATATATATATATATGATATATATATTAGATATATCTAATATTTCTGATATTTCTGATCATTTATATATATACATATATATAAATATATTAAAAATGAAATATATATACATAAACATCACAAAACCCAATAAATTTGTAAAGTCAAACAACCTTCCAAACATTTTTAATATGATATAACCATTCTCGGTTATATATGAGGATGGTTATATCATATTTAAATATTAAATTAATTAAAATATCTATAACCATGAGGCAGATATCACACCTTTCTATACTTATGTAATCATTTTATTGTACACCTTTTTTGTTTTATTAAATGTTTTTACTTTGATTCTTGAGTGTTTGTGCCCATTATCATTGGTGTGATAATCCCTTACTATTATCTGCCTCACGGTTATAGATATTTTAATTAATTTAATTATACTTAGGGCTAAAAGCAATTTCTGTAATAATAATATTTAAATATGTTTGGAAGGGGAGATTGAACCAGAGGCTTGGGCAGAATAACTGGCAAAGCATCTGCATGGTAAGTGGGAGTTGCAGGTTCGAGTCTGGGTCTGGGTCGATTTTTTTTTTCCAGAATATTCTAAATTATTTAATAAATATTAATTTAATTATAATTAAATTTAACAAGAGATGCCATCCTCTAGTGACAAATTATTTAGTAATTAATTAAATATAATTGCAGAAAAGTAGTTTAATATAATCTGGTGATTGTTTGGCTTTAAAAATGAAACAGCATTAAATAGGACCATTTTAACATTATATGAATAAAGATAGGTTAAAACATAAATATAAATAGAATAATAATACATTTCTGTTTAACAATATTATTAGATACTGTACTGTACATATGTTCTTATATATAAATTTATATACCACAATTACTTGCATATAAGTCGAGGTTTTTTTTTTCATTTTTGACTGCTTCAAAAACCTAGGTTATCCTGTACTCTCGAGCAAAGGGTTCTTTAGGTTTTTGCAATAATTTTTGTGAACTGTGTATTCAAATTTTTTACCATATGCTCACCCTCTGGTGTTTAAAAACAAAAGTATTTTATCTGGGTTGTTTCAATCATTCTCGTATATTGCAGGAGTAAAGATGAATAGCAATAGGAAAAGCAAAGCTTTTGAATTGAATTCCAAATTGAAATTCTAAAATCATACGGGAGCTTGATATATAAGTTTTAATTAGGAGTATTAAGTACTGGGGTTGGATGTCACGCCAACAGTTATCTCAATCAAAACTTCTTCCAAAACTTCAGACTATGAGGCGTTAAATATAATTAAAAATATTTTATTCTTGCAGCGCTTTCGACGTAAATATGCACGTCGTCTTCAGGCAATTCAAAATCGAATAGAGAATTCAAACCATACATTTAAATTTAAACATTAACGATATTAGCCGTTTTTTGAATATAACTATTATAAATAAGATTTAAATTTTAGAATTAAAAAGATTTAAAAATATTTAAAATTGGTACGCATGCGTACGAATAAAATATTTTTAATTATATTTAACGCCTCATAGTCTGAAGTTTTTGAAGAAGTTTTGATAAGTTTTAATCCATTCCCACATGAAAACAGATAATTATTCAGAAATCAGAATTCAGAGAAACTCATAAGTGTGGATTTGACTGTTAAGAATTGGCAAAGAAGGCTCCTGATACATGAACAAATTATGTTGTCAATTTTACAAGATTTTTCCTTAAAGATTAAAATGCCAGTAATTTTTGCAAGACAATGTATGCATTTATATGCATTTGATATTTTATTTGTGATTAGATGAAATAAAATTAGAATTGCATTAATAAATCTAATTTTCTGTATTTTAATCTTTAGAGTTACACCTCATTCTATATGCGAGATTGTCTTATATTTGAGTAAATACGGTATTTATAATTTTATATTTTAGATAAAGGATTGAACTGGATTTTCAGAAATCTTCAGCATTTTGGTGATGTAGCCATTGAGAGTCAGTTATTATTTTTTCTTTCATTTATGAAGTTCTCAGTAATAGGATATCATATCTTATTACTGAGAAATATATTCATAATCTGGGTTGTTCTTTGTGAATTGTTCATGACTTGCATGAGTTTTGTGATACTATTGCTGAGAAAATCTGTAAGTTCTGTTTGTGCATCGTTATTTAAAATTACAAGTTTTTTCTGAAAACCTTGCTCTATTAGTTCTCAATGACTGGTGTTGCTAAGTTCTCACCATAGAATTGCAGAAAAGTACCCATTATTGTATTATTGTTTGATACTGAAGAGTTCAAGAATTTGCTTGAGTACTAAAATTATTTATTCCAGAAAATTACTATTTTATTGAGCATTGGCAAAAGTGTATTGTAATAAAACAGCATTGAATTGGCTAATGTTAAACATGATCTTATTATACATATAAACTTACTAATATATATCAATATTCTGGACAGAAGAAAGGAAGAGAAATTATACCAGGAATTATAGATACTGTACCATTAAAAGAAATTTTATTAAAAGCAAATCTTGTTTATATAGTGTTTCAAAACTATATGTCAGAAATGTAAAGACAGGTAGAGGGGACTTAAATAAGCAGATTTCGTATAAGAATGTGAGTGTGGAAATGCAGCAAGAGGGCGCTGTTGAGTTCGGTGGATGAAAGCACTCTGCTGGCTTGAATCGTTGAATTCCCCGCAAGGATTTTGAACAATATGCATCGTTACAGCAATGTGGAGCTTGCCAACATGCATTTCATATATGGGGCAAAGCAAGGAAATGGAGCTGCTGCTCAAAGGATGTGTGTACATGGAGTGATTTCCATACTTAACTCTCGATGAAGATGCTCAAATGTTCAGTGATCTGGCAGATTCCTACCCGGAAATTGCTCCATGTACTGTACATCCTTTGAGCAGTAGCTCCATTTCCTTGCACTGCCTCATGCATGAAATGCATGTTGGCAAGCTCCACATTGGTGTAATGATGCACGTTGCTCAAAATCTGTGCGGGGAATGATGATTCAAGCCAGCAAAGCGCTTTCATCCACCAAACTCAACAGCGCCCTCTCGCTAAATTGATTATATAAAATCTGTTTTATATTCAATATCAATATATATATATATGATATATATATTAGATATATCTAATATTTCTGATATTTCTGATCATTTATATATATACATATATATAAATATATTAAAAATGAAATATATATACATAAACATCACAAAACCCAATAAATTTGTAAAGTCAAACAACCTTCCAAACATTTTTAATATGATATAACCATTCTCGGTTATATATGAGGATGGTTATATCATATTTAAATATTAAATTAATTAAAATATCTATAACCATGAGGCAGATATCACACCTTTCTATACTTATGTAATCATTTTATTGTACACCTTTTTTGTTTTATTAAATGTTTTTACTTTGATTCTTGAGTGTTTGTGCCCATTATCATTGGTGTGATAATCCCTTACTATTATCTGCCTCACGGTTATAGATATTTTAATTAATTTAATTATACTTAGGGCTAAAAGCAATTTCTGTAATAATAATATTTAAATATGTTTGGAAGGGGAGATTGAACCAGAGGCTTGGGCAGAATAACTGGCAAAGCATCTGCATGGTAAGTGGGAGTTGCAGGTTCGAGTCTTGCTCTGGGTCTGGGTCGATTTTTTTTTTTCCAGAATATTCTAAATTATTTAATAAATATTAATTTAATTATAATTAAATTTAACAAGAGATGCCATCCTCTAGTGACAAATTATTTAGTAATTAATTAAATATAATTGCAGAAAAGTAGTTTAATATAATCTGGTGATTGTTTGGCTTTAAAAATGAAACAGCATTAAATAGGACCATTTTAACATTATATGA